CACTATTTTATATTTCTGTTAAAATCTTCAAAACTGGTGAAGCAAAATGGTAAGTGTTCACAAGACAAATAGGAAACTGCACATCCTCCTATATAACGCCTGCAAATGTAACTTGAACTTTTTGTACTTTCACTGCAAGATTAATATGCAACATCTCCATACACAACCACAAAGCATTAGCAACATAATGGATGTCCTTTCCAGTGTAATGAGTTTGCAATTTACCAATATACGATCAAGACGCTATGATAACTATATGCAGATTTCCAGTTTTAGCAAAGGTATTTGATACCTTCACAGGGACATTTATTTTGGGAAGAAACTAAGAACATAGCATTTGAAAGAAACCAAGGACGAGGAAATTGCTTTAAAAGTGTTTCTTCTAATTAGTAAATATGTTTATGTAGAAAAGTTAGGATCAAGCAGGCAACCACCACATTCCCCTTCTCTGCTGGCTGGCTGTCACCAGCCACAACTCAAATCATTGAGGAACAGACAAATTTGCAGGTTAAAAAGTGTCAAAAAGAACAGGAACAGGGTAGAAAAACAGTCCCTTTCATTTTGAAGAATAACCTTCGTACCTGCTGGGTTTCTCTATCAACTGTTCATGCCCATATGTTCTTTGCTTAGAAACATGACCTTTGGATTCTTTTGTCTTCTCCCCCTAACCATATATGCTCAATATGTTCTTTGCTTGGATGCATGTGATTGAAAGGGAAGGGGCTCCATCCATGCAACCTTTTGTTCATGCACCATGCAGTCCGAAATTTCTAGTACTCTTTTTCTGTAAAGATTTCTAACACAACAGTACTCCATCCACTAAGCTTTTCCTATACAGGAAAATATACCATGCAAATAATTCAACTTGTGGATGGCTATGTTTTGTATGCATATGCTTGATGACAAAAGAAATTTGGTTGTACATTCTCCACCTTGCCAAGAGGATGGACCACTCAGTAGCATAGAAGAATCACATCATCACTCTTGGCTAAGTATTCTTATCAATGTAAAAAATCGTGGTGAAAACACTCAAAAATGCATGAATGAATGTATTATAACAATACTAACAACCATCCTTAAGCTGCATTTTCATGATAATAATATAATTTTCTATTGATTGTCAGTTGTCTAACACAATCCTTCACTATTTTCATTTGAGTTTGGGACCAACATAGATTGTGTTAATCATCTAAAAATAAGAGAAAAAAAAGATTAGATATGTGCATAAATCCTCTATAAATAAGATATAAGAGAATGTTTGGTTGACTAGACTTTCATATTTGACCAAACTAGGAGGCTACAATTAGAAAATTGTGATATATTGAAGTTAGATATTATACATAACCTGGGACACAGAGGATCTCTGATCTTTTTGTGTGTTTTTTTAAATATAATTCAAATTTTTTGTTCTTTTAGATATAGTTGGAGAGCATACAAGAATCACTGACATAAATCTATTTGTTGGTTAGATATTAAGGAACATAATAGTCCTTATTCATGGATCTCATCTGGCCCCAAACCTGACTCATACTTTTCAAGTTTCAGTGACAATGCACACATTTATTCTGTGTTACTTTTGACTCATGTTGATGAGCATCCAATACCCAGAATCAACTTTCATGTCCAAGCATGGCATCCGGGAAAACTTCCTCCTCACTCACCAAAAGAGAGAGGGGAGGGGCACCATCACATCACATCACATCACATGCTTATCCATGATTTCAAAGATTGCATAGATATTTGAATTCATCTAAAATTAAGTTCAGATATCTATTTTCAGCATTTAATCATTTAAATGCAACACCAAAAATATCTCCTTGTAAATGTAAGCATTTAATCATCATAATAATATCTTTACAGGATCTAAAAAGTGAGGATATCAAATGAACAAGAACATACTGAGGAAGTTTAACCATATTGACAATATAATCACCTAATTTATTATGTCGATCTCCTCAACTTTACAACAGCAGAATCTCATTGTTTCATAAAGAATTATTTCTAACATTTGGTGAAGGTAAGATGTAACCCTATTGAAACTAATTAATTTTTCTCTCCTCTCTCTATATGAGACCAATTGTTTCCCACTTCTAACATTCTGATGCTTGGCCTCCATTTTGATACTGTTGGCTTGTGTTCACAGAGTTCATGTACTGAGTTCGGAAGTTTCATATACTTGAACCATATGGTATAGTGATAGGAAGACACACCGATGGTTTGGGTGATTGTGGTGAGCAACTGCGAGCCTATGGGCAGGCAGCGATGAAGGCCACGGGGAGCATCAAGGGCGGCAGCATGAAACACGACCTGCGTGCGGCGGTGCGCGAGGGCAGCAGGCGCCCGGGGGATGGTGGTGGCTGTGTGGAGAGGAACGCTGCACGATCAGCATCCTAATTTTGACTCCAATTTTGAGTCAAATTCTCATAAATTCTTCTCCACGATGAAAAATTAGTGTCGATTCAGCTAAGAAACTTTGTCTTCTCTTCTCTCAAAAATACCCCATAGGGCATTAAACTAAAGCTCGATACAGATTGACCAAATTCAAACAATGCTTGTGTTTAGCCAAAGGAAGCAACTTCGTTAGTATGTTTGTCGGGTTGTCAGCGACATCAATTTTGTGAAGAAAAACTTCCTTTTAGCGATTTCTTTATGACTAAAATGATACTCGATATTGTTAACAATCTTTGGTTTGATTGTCGTTATGCATGATGACATCTTTTTTTATGATTTGTATTTGTATACTTTTTTTTGAAGAGAGAGTAGCTCTCCGCTCGACAATAGCATCGACATCAATATAATCGTTTCATTGCTTTGTATTTGTGTTAGTGTCGACGCAGGTACCGAGTGGTGAAAGGACTACTCGATAACAATGTCAATGCTGACGCAGATGTAAAGCGACGAAATGATCGCTTGACATCTACATCAACGTCGATACAAATGTAAAACGGCTCTCATCTCTTCTCGTAGCTCTTTTCATCCACAACAACTATTCATAGTCTCCAACGATACTATTGTTCATTATCATTGATGTCGTCCGTTATTATTAACTAGAACGTTATAATTATTTTTTTGTCTATTATTTTTATGTATTAATTTTAATATAAATTTATTAAAATGTATGGATCAAAATGTTAAGAAAGTCTAACTAAAAATGATGATATGTAATTAGCCCGACAGTCGAAACAGAGACCCGATTAGATCGATGGATTGGATCAAGAACAGGACGACACAGAATCTAGAGGTAGATGACCGACGGAGCGATGTATTGTGCTCTGAGTGCGAGCACGAACAAACAGGCCCGCTGTTCCAGCTTTGGGCCCTCCCAAGGCGGAATTAGATGCAGCTCGTTCTTATGCTCATAGGCTTCCGACAGCAATGCCATGGCGGAAACAATGAGGAAAGCTCTGAGAATTATCAGTAGCCTTCCGGTCTTTTGCGGCTTCTCGGGGCTCCTGAAGAAGATGCGCCGTTGTGCTGTGGCAAGGAGCTTCCCAAATGCAAACAAGGACCAAGAAAGGGAGGAAAGAGCCCTCTGAAGCTCGAGGAGCAGAAGCCATGCGAGTTGCCTTTGATTCTTAGCTCTTCCCTTCTCTGACAAGGATGATGTGTCCGTTCCACCAGCTTCTAACGTAGAGTAGCTGTGTGGATTCTCCATTGCCACCACCACTGATGCTGGAACCAGTAGCACAGTGCTTATTGCCTTGCATGAAGCACCATGAACCTTCTTTCTTGATGATGATTGAAGGAAGATGACACTGAAACAAACAACCAAGTCTCTCCTAAGATATAATCCAGGAAGAAGAACAAGATTCTGTCAGGAATTCCAAGTAACTACAGAATGCTGTGACAAAAAGGAAGAACATGAGCAGCTGAAAGAATATATTCAAAGGGAAAATAAGAACCGATATTTACAGCAATGGAGGTTGGGTTGTAGGGATCTAACTTGGCCTTACATCTATATTTTTGTACTCAGATGAACAAATAAACAAACCAAATGTAGCAGAAAAATAACAGCACTTTTTAGATTATGTCTCACATCCAGAAAACTGGGATCTGATGATCCATCTAATGACTATGACTCAAACTACAATAATAATTTTAATTAATTGTTTTTTAAACCAGCCTAACTCAATAGTTATCCAGACAGATGCTTACATTTATTTCACTTGACCAAAATAATAACAAAAAATGATATTATATTATGCTCATAAAACTAATATTTTATGTCTAAAATATTAAATAATTATACAAATGATATCACTTTCAAGTCATGCTTTATCTGATATCATCGCATTTATTTTCATCTTGGTAAACCTTCATCTGATATCATCCCATATGAGCCATTCGACGTATTATTCCTTTTGTAGCGATCAAAATTCGAGACAGGATAGATCAGGATCTACAATGGGCTTCGGCTTAGCAGACCGAATCACCCAGCAAACCTTTCCGGGCTGACACGAACCCAAGGATTGGGTCTGCAAATTTGGGCCCCCGGCCTAACTCCCAAGATGAATTTTCTGGAAGATTTGATCATCATGAATCATCATCAATTACAAATGCTATTATTCCGGGAATTATCAATTAAAGTTGAAACCTCCATCCAAATCTAATTAACTGACTGATTAAAAGGTATTATTATCTTGTAATAAATAGATTTAACATTATATCTGCACTTATGTTAATGTCTGTATGAGTAGGTGTTAATTGTAATTGTGACGCATGACAATTAAAATCACTAATTCACTTACAGCATGTAAAAGATTTAATTGCATCATTGCTGTTCCTTACGTGAATTAGGTCCATTGGATACGGATCCGACCCGATGGCACCACAGGGTACCGAGGAAAGCGGGGGGGTAAGTCTCGTGCGCATCGCACCGTGACATGATGGTTGGACGCGCACGTTAGCGCCGACCACAAGTCAAACGACCGCATCCGACCGCTGGCGCACGTTAGCGCCGCCCTCTCCGCCATCCAAGTTAACTGCGCCGCGTTCCCCTCGTCTCCCTCACGCCCCCTCTTTTTCTTCATCCCCTTCTCACGATCCCCCACGGATCGCATCCACTTCTTCCTTTCTATCTCTTTCATCAGATCGCGAAACCCGCGACCCAAATCGCTCCACAAATACCCTCGATCCACCAGTCCCTGCGTCACGTTGTCTTCCTCCCAGATTGATCGGTCCACCTCCCGATCTCTCCTTCAGCGTCGAGCTCGATCCGGCATAGGTAGGGTCTTTCTTCGCGCGTTCGTTTGTTGCGGGAAACCGCCGTGGAGGGGCTTGCAGACGGTGGATCTGAAGGCGGGTGTGGCGGTGGCGTGTTACTTGTTCTAGGGTTTGATTCGGTGGAATTATAGACGGGTAGACTGGAGAGGAATTGATGGTTGGTGGCGTCGGCGGAGGGATCGGAGAGGGGACGATGAAAGGCTATGCATGGGCGGGAGGGTGAGGAGAGGAAACGGCGGCGGCACATGTGGCCGGTACCTGCGCCCGGTACAGCAGCATCAGCGTCATCGTCGTCATCAGCTCCTCCACCTTCTCTAGCTTTTCCGGAGAACCCCTCCTCGGAGTCGGATTCCTCTCGGTCCTCTTGCGATTCGTTCCTAAAGGTGTCTCCTTTCGTGTGTTTCATCCGTCTTTGTGCGTGAAATAGGGGGAAATTTTGACTCCCATTGGTCAAAATAATTTAGTTGTTTAATTCTTTTTTATTTTTTGGACTTACGGTAATTTTCGTTAGATTTTTGCCAATTTTATACTTCTTATGGTGGCTTTGTTGATACTTTACTCGTTTTTCTTGATTATTCATTACGTTGTTTAGATTTGCAGCCTTGGACGTTATTCTTTTAATTAATTTGTGCTCCTCTGCTTTTTTTTGGCCTTTTCCTTGTGAAATAGACAAGATGGGGCTTTTGATAGATTTAACGTATTTCTGCCTAGAGAGTTATAATTTAAGCGGGCATTATTTTTTGAAGGAAGTTTTTAGTGTTTGTTGCTGTCGACCTGAAGGATCCTATTCCTGGTCAAGGATGAACTCTCAGACACAGATGGTGGATCGTAATAAGCATGTTATGTAGGTGGCTTCTTTTGGAACTTGATACATAACTTTGAGGTGAACATCTGGTATTTTCGTGTTGGAAATGGTTTTGAAATATGGTTTTGTTAAGCCCGATGATTCCTTCCTGGTGATATAGATAGTTCTTGGTATTTGCGGTTATTGTTTTGATACTTATTAACCAAAATTTCCTGGCGAGATAGTCGAGCCTTATGTGGATACCAGGAGGATAGAATATTTTTAGCTATTTTTTGAGTTACATGAAACAGCTTGGTCCTTGACCACATTTCTTTCATTGTTTCAATCATGTGGAAATTGGTTTCCTATGGATCCTATGCTATTTCAGTTATGAAGTTGTCTCCACTGATGGACAAAGCTCATGGCTCAAATTTAAGGTCCTATAACTCTTTCTGGTCTGTCAATTAGAGATCCAGTTTTTGATTGGGCTCAATTGGTTTTCTATAATTATTTTTATGGGACTGTTATAATACTAGATTCATGTGAAACACTGGAGGTCTGTTGTAATTTTAGCTTATCCTGATTCAGTGAAATATACAGGAGTTATATTTGTCCGGAGTTCCTTCTCTAAATCTATAGATTGTAATTAAAAAATATTATTAATCCTGCTTATCAATATAATCCTTTAGTCCTGCATCTGATATTTGTCTGCTTACATTTTCTTTCTTAGCATCAGTGGCAATTCTTGCTGTACTTTTAGTTCTGCTGCTGTCAGTTTTTCTTTGTTCAGAATCTTAAGATTTATGGTCATGCATCTCTGTCTTTTTGGTCAGTGTTTTTTTATAGAAGTAGTTGTAACCTTTGCTGCTTTGGAATGGGACTGTGTTAAGAGTTAGTAGAGTTTGACCTTTGCGGCATGAGAAGGCATATTTGCTTTGTTCACAGTTTTGTATGTATGTTCGGTCGTGTTTGAAATGTGGCTTCTAAAGAAGTATACGTTAACCTGTCTTCAATATATCACACTTCAACATGTCTATATTTTTTGCAAGAAATGGTCTATGATTCACATTTAAGTTAATATCAAATTTTGTTAACAGCTGAAGGTTGCACGCAACTATAATGTTTTACCATATTGTTAGATGCTTTTGAGAAGGTGAATGAAAACGTCATTCTTGTTGTTGTCATAGTCATGGCAATTGCAAAAATGCATCAGACACTGTCTATACTTTTGTTTGGGGTAGTTCTTTTGAGTTCTGTTTTACTGTGAGTGTACTCTTTCGTTGCAAAATGTGGCAGACACTATCCATTCTTTTGTTTGGGGTAGTTCTTTTGTAGTTTTGTTTCACTATTAGTCTACGCTTTCGTGCTGTGGAACCCATGTTAATATGGTTCTCTTTTTTCTTCGCAACAGCCTGTTAATATTCTATATTTTGCAGGATGGGCGTAAAATTCGAGTTGGTGATTGTGCTCTTTTCCAGGCCGGCAATGCACCTCCTTTCATTGGAATAATTCGCTGGTTTACAGAAGGCAAGGAGGATCACCTTCGGTTATGTGTTAATTGGCTTTACCGACCTGCTGACATTAAGCTTGCCAAAGGTGTATTGCTTGAAGCTGCTCCAAACGAAGTTTTTTACTCCTTCCACAAGGACGTGATAACTGCAGCTTCATTGCTTCATCCTTGTAAAGTAGTGTTTTTACGTAAGGGTGTCGAGCTTCCAGCAGGGGTATCATCATTTATATGCAGACGAGTATATGACATTACTAACAAGTGCTTGTGGTGGTTGACTGATCAAGACTATATCAATGTGAGTTTTGCATGCTTTTAATATCTCTACTAAGAATCAGAACTTTTTTTCCTCTGGTGTTATTTTAGATTAGGTGCCTTATTGTTCACTTTTTTCTTCTCAGGAACGACAAGAGGAAGTAGATCAGCTTTTGGACAGAACTCAATTAGAAATGCACGCAGCAGTTCAGTCCGGTGGACGTTCACCTAAACCACTTAATGGTCCATCAAGCACACAACAGTTAAAATCTAGTTCAGAGAGTGATCATAATACTGGCCCTTCTCTCCCGTTTCAATCGAAGTTGAAGAAGAGAGACAGGAGTGATCAGGGCACAGAGCATATCAAGAGAGAGCGGTCTTCTAAACCAGATGATGGTGATTCATGTAAATCTGATAACATGATGAAGGCAGAATTAGTCAAAATAACAGAAAAAGGTGGACTTATAAGCACCGAAGGGGTTGAGAAATTGGTGAACTTATTGCAGCATGATAGACCCGAGAATAAAATAGATGTTTCTGGTCGGATACTGGTTGCAAATGTGATTGCAGCCACTGATCGTTATGATTGCCTTGGCAGGTTTGTGCAGCTTAAGGGTGTGCCAGTCTTGAATGATTGGCTCCAGCAGGTGTACAAGTCTAAGGCTGGTGATGGTACTAGTCATAAAGAAAGTGATAAAGCTGTTGAGGAGCTTCTCTTGGCTCTTCTTTGTGCACTGGCTAAATTGCCTGTCAACCTTAATGCTCTGCAGGCTTGTAATATTGGTAAATCTGTGAATCACTTGCGGAGCCATAAAAATCCTGAAATCCAGAAGAAGGCTAGGAGTCTTATTGACACCTGGAAGAAACGAGTTAATGCCGAAATAACAAAGATCAATGATGCCAAATCTGTTGGATTAGGCCAACCTGTTTGGCAAGTTAAGTCAGGTTCTTCTGATGTTTCTCATGTTGGAAACAGACGATCTGGACCAACTGATGTGGTTTCTAAGAGCCCTGTAACTCATACTGCATGTAAGTCTAGTAAGCCTGGACATTCAGATCCTATTGTGAAGTCACCTTCAGCAACACAAGGGTCTTCGAAAGCAACATCTATTGCAACTGGCTCAAAGGATTCACTTTGCAAAGCAGCTCATCACAGTGGGGGTACAGAGATGACACCAACAGCAGTCAAAGAGGAGAAGAGCAGTAGTTCCAGTCATTCTCAGAACAATAGCCAATCTTGTTCTAGTGATCATGCAAAAACAGTGGGTTCCTCATGGAAGGAAGACACAAGGAGTTCAAGTGCTGGGTCAATTAATGCTACTAAGGCCGCTGGTGCTTCATCCCGTCATCGAAGATCGAGCAATGGGGTTACTGTGACTAGTATTTCTGGAGTTCAGAAGGAAACTCATCCAAGTAAATCTGGTTCTCTCAACCGAGCTGCAACATTGGAAAAATCATCACAATCAGGACTGACATGTGAAAAACCAATTGATATGCCTGCTGTAGATCATGGAAATAACCACAGGCTTATTGTCCGGCTTCCTAACCCTGCTCGAAGCCCTGCACGAAGTGCAAGTGGAGGTTCATTTGATGATCCATCAATTTCCGGTAGCAGAGCATCCTCTCCTGGGTTCTCAGACAAACATGAGCACAGTGATCGTAGAGTGAAGCCAAGGGTTGATGCTTATCAATCTAACATTGTCATGGATGCTAATACAGAGTCATGGCTGAGCAATGATGTAAAAGAATTGCCAGTTGGAGCTGGAGGTGTTAGATCACCAGCAGCTGATGAAGAACACATCAGGAGTGCTGGGGAAACTGGAAAGGATACTGAGGCTCCAGGAGCTGCGTGTTCATCTTCTGGAAATGAAAAGGGTGTTTCCTCGACTGAAACCAGGACAAGAAGTTCTTTAAGTTCTATAATTGCCTTGATTGAAAGTTGCGTCAAATACTCTGAAGCTAGTGATCCTTCAGCTGTTGAAGATGATGTTGGGATGAATCTGCTTGCTAGTGTGGCAACTGGAGAAATCTCCAAGTCTGACTTAATTTCTCCCACTGGCTCAGCTGGGGCATCACCTGGGGCCGAAGACCCATCTACAGAGGCCAAGTCAAGGTTATCAAGTGCTGATGATTTGGCCCAGAGTCATATTGAATTAGATGAAGCCGCAGATGCCGACTCCATTAAGAAAGGGAAGAGTGTCAATTCTATTTCAACTGGGGATGTTCCATGTCAGGATGGGACCAACTTTTTGGGAAACAGTGGAAATGATGTCTCCTTGCAGGATAATAAATTGACAGGTGAGGAGGCTGAACAATCTGCTTCTGGTTTGAGTTCTCACAAAACTAAAGACTCTTGTCCCATACCTAAGCCGAAACTCGAGGAAGAAAGAGATGGAAATTTTTTGGTGTCCAAGTCAGCTGGATTGGGGAAGTGGGATAATGATGGAGTCCGTCCACTCGAGGAAAAGCATATAACAGGTTTGGACAATTCTACTGATTGCAAGCTTAAAGAAAGAAGCTCAATGGAAGATGAAAGCAAACCTAGGGAATGTGCTCGTCAGAAGATTGGAGATGACAGTATATGTACCTTTGAGGTTGCTAACAAAGATGGATGTGATCATGACATTGCTGCTCCAGGTATCAAGATAGAAAAGCTGGTCATTGAGGAATGTCAATCAGGCCTTACTGCAAAAGTAGTGCCTGAGGTTGCACCCCAATCTTGCCAGCAACAACCTCAGATGCCTGTGATTGTGGAGAGAAGTGATAATGATGCTATTTCATCTGGTGTTCCTGATGTTGCATATCCAGAAAATGCTGATGGGTCAAAGACTTCCAAGCCTGATAACGTGGGGGTCAATCACTTTGAGTCGAATGATAAACATGAATGTGACAGCCTCAACCTGTCTAAACTTGATGAATCAGTTAGACTAGCAACCACCTCCTGCAGTACTGCTTGTGCAGCTGAAGATTTGAAAATAAAGGAGTCTCTTGAAAGTTTAACTGTGGGATCAGCCAGTCAAGAACCACCCTCAAGTTGTACAGCCCAAGAGATGGAGAACCAATCAAAACCTGCTGGTTCTAGGTTCTCGGGGGCTTTTGCGGATGTGAAGGAGGATCTTGCATCATCCCTGGAGGCCTCTTCATTGGCTGTTAAAGCTGTGCCAGATGTTGCTAGTAAGCTTGACTTTGATTTGAATGAAGGCATCACCGGAGATGATGGAACCCAAGTTGAGACTTCTGTCTCTATTTCAACCGTGTGTTCCTCTATAGGTCATTTGCCCAGCCTGTCTCTGTTCTCAAATTCCATGTTGACCGGGTTGCCTGCTCCAATTACAGTAGCTGCACCAGCGAAAGGACCTTTTGTTCCACCTGAAAACTTATTAAAGAGCAAGGATGAGCCTGGATGGAAAGGCTCGGCCGCCACTAGTGCTTTCCGGCCAGCAGAACCACGTAAAGTTCTGGAGGTGCCACTCAATACTTCTGGAGTGTTGCTACCATCTGATTCTGCAGGAAAGCAGTGTCGTCCTCCTCTCGATATTGATCTGAATGAACCTGATGAGAGAGCTCTTGAAGACATGGCCACTCAGAGCTCTGCTAAGGCCATGGGCTCTGAGCTGGGGACAGTGGGCAATCTTGATGCACCTGGACGAATTTCTGGGGGACTTGATCTTGATCTAAATAGGGTCGATGAAGGTATGGAAAGTGGCCAGTTCTTAGTGAGCACCTCCCATAGGATGGAGGTTCCACTTTTTGCCATAGGACAAGCATCAACGGAATTTCCTAATAGGGAGGCCAATATGTTAAGGGACTTTGATCTAAATAATGGACCGGGCCTCGATGAAGTTTGTGCTGAACCTGTAACGAGGAACCAAAATACAAGAAGCACTGGTAGTGTGCCATTCTTACCCGCAGTTGCTGGTGTCAGAATGAATCCTCCTGAATTGGGTAGTGTATCATCGTGGTTTCCTCCTGGTGGTTCTTATCCTGCTGTTGCTATACCATCCTTCTTGACCAACAGAGGAGAGCACCCTTACCCAATTGTTGCAGCTGCAGGAGGCCAAAGAATTTTGGGGCCAGTTACAGCTAGTGGTCCCTATGGGGGAGATGTTTACCGGGGCCCTGGGCTTTCAGCATCTCCAGCCATGGCATTTGCTCCTGCTACGGCATTTCCTTATGCTGGGTTCACTTTCGGGTCCAATTTTCCGCTTGCATCAACTTCGTTTTCAGGTGGATCGGCAACCTTTGTCGATTCTTCGTCTGGAGCTGGTTCAGGTTTCCCTGCCATTCCTTCGCCACTTGTTGGACCTGCTGGTGGCATTTTATCCAATTATCCGAGGCCTTATGCGATAGGCCCTCCTGAGGGTAGTGCCAGTGGTGGATCCGACAACAGCAGGAAATGGATTACATCAGCACTTGATCTTAATGCAGGTCCAGGAAATGCAGAAGGAAAGGATGACAGATTGCCCTTGCCATCGAGACAACTAGTTTCAAACTCCCAGGCTTTCATGGAGGAACAGGTAAGAATGTATGCGGTGGCAGGAGGGGGTCTGAAGAGGAAGGAACCTGAGGGAGGTTGGGATGCAGATAGATCTGCTTACAAGCAAATCTCATGGCAGTGAAGAGATTTTAGAAGCAGCAAATCAGTAGCAGTATCCAAATACAGTAAGCTGTCTTATGTTCTTGTTGTATATGGTGTGATTTGTGTTCATGAGTGGTCTATTCTAGACTATAATAAATGATTTATCCTTGTTTTGCAGGCACACACATATGTGGAATTCCTTGTATTGGTTTGCACTAAGTTATGCACTTAAAGCCGCATGTGTCCTGATGTTTCTTGAGGAATATGTGGAAATCTTTCAGAGGATTCTGAAACTTGCTGTATTTCCTGTAAATGTCGACACTCGTTGAAACAAATTTTCATGAGTTCAGCACTTTTGTCTTACGTTGCTTTAGCATGTTCCAGCGTGTTTTCTGGGGAAACCCCTTGCAGGACGACGACATTACTTTTGTCGAGTCTTTTTTATTTATCATCTTATCCATTGGAGCCACTGCAATCAGGTGCTTTCTTCTCTCAAAGGATGTTATATGTTCATGATCGGTGGCTACTGCAGCTTACTATGCTGCCTGCCTTTGCTGCTTCATGGAGTTGACAATTTCTGCTATATGAGTTGAATAGTATGCTATCTGAGCACTTCAGTATCACTTTATTGAATAAATGCTATCATACAATTCTGTTGTCAAGTTTTGTCACTCGAAACTTAGTGGATCAATTGGCAGCCAGCAACTGCCTGAGTTGCATTAGTCATTCTTTCTCCCTTTCGAGCATTTTAGTGCATGGGTCAGTGACTTCCATAATCTTTAGTACTCGTTAAGCTTCTTGTTTCATTTAGTTGGTGCATGAGAAGGTTGATGGTGTCTGTTCTGGTACCTGTTGGATCATTTATGTGAGCTGCATGTTTGTTCATGCGGCACCCCTGTTTGTGTTGATTCCGAGTCTTACCTCTCTCTCTCTCTCTCTCAGCAATCAAAACACTCAGGTTTATCTGATGCAATTGCTGTAATCTTAATTCCTTGTCTTTTGGCCATCAACTGTCGGGAGCTACATTGAATATGAGACAGACTGCATCGACACTGTCCGTCTTTTCGTCGAGCACGTGGAAGGCAAAGAAAGTGGCAGCGAAATCTACAAGGATGAGCATAGAAATCATCAACCACGGACAGAAAGCACTACACCCCCACGGCCACGGGCATCATCTGAGTCACCGTCGAAAGGCGAGTCCCATCGCCGGGCCCCCGGGGCAGACCACTTGGTGCGCACAAAAATGTGTCGACGAAGGCATGACAAAGACGAAGGACATGATGATGCCCGTGATGCGATACTTGTGTCTTCTTCACTACTTCATTTATTCCCTCCTGTCCCCTTCATGTCCTTCGCCTTCTGACATCCTCCAGCCATAAAGACAAAAGAAAGGGAGAGATAGAGAGAGATTGGTCCACCACGCAACACGACCTTCTTTCCCATCACATGTGGTGGAAGCCGGTGACGCGACGATGGGGCCGATCCAACCAAGGCTGATGGTGGATTTGTTTCTTGAGGGGGTGATGGGCTCACATGCAGACGTATGTCGGCTTCTCGGCATCAGCCACATGACCTGACGTTTGTGCGAGATCCAGATCTTACTTGCCGCGCCACCGTCACATGGGGGTGTTGGACGACCTGCACGCGTCTCGAGGCTACCGTTGCCTTCTGCCTTCTCCAACACGTTGGATGCACGGGTGGGGCAGCGGTGACGACAATGGTGCCATCAGCGGCATGGAAATGGGGCTTTGGATTCCGACATTGCATCTATCATAAATATCTTTGACTGTCATCTATCTATCTCTTCCTCCGTATGGACAATGTTATTACTTTTACATCATCTTCGTTCCATCTTTGCTCGCCTAGTCACATTTAGTCTTTTGACTCTGTTGCTTAGTTCTCCTTTGTGAAATCTTATCATGTAGTTTTATCGTTTTCATTCCATCGTGACTTTCTTCGACGGACCCATCACGAGGTCCCATTATTTTTTCCTCATTTTCTTCGACCTCATCATTATCTTTCTCTTCTTCGTGAGGTCTTATTGTTCTTGCCTTCATTCATCACATTGATTGCCTCCGTCTCGCCATTTTTATCCTGTTGCTTCGATCGTGCCATCACCATGACGAAAGGAGAAACCGAACCTAAAACGCTGTGGATGTTTGGTTTTGCTTGCAAGTTTTGCTCATCGCTTCAGCTTCCACGAGACCATAGGATGGTGTCTTCTGAGAGCTTCTTCTGTGGAGTTGCAGATCTCCTCTTTGCACCACGCAAACGCATACCATGAGAGCAATGAAAGTGGGGAGCAAGCTGGGAACGATTTGAAACAAAATCGACACATTTGTATCGTTAGAAAGTAGTATTGCAATCGAGAAGCACTCGTATCAAAGAAGCGTCCCATCTAACTTGTTGGATAACATTAGGATTCATTCTTAGAAAAAGGAAATTATATTGTAAAGTCTGTGATACAAATTGAAGAGCTGATCGATCAGCAGCAGCAGCAGCAGCAGCAGGAAACATAAAAGAGGAAGACTATCATCTACTGAAATGAGCCAAAGACCCCTCAATTCTCCCACCATTCCCTCAGAGCTCGGGGATATACATAAATAAAATCATTAGCAGCTATTAAAAGCCTTAAAGCGATGGCCTGATTGAATAGTTGCGATGCTTATCATCATTTCGATTAGTTTAACGATACTAGAAGGAGGTAGCTATAATACTGAGAAAGAACTATCGAAATGGAAGCCTAAAATTTTCCTGAATAGAATCCTAAAAAAATGAACAAAAAAGACATGATTTGTTGAACGAGGGAAGACAGTGCCTAAAATTTCTTAGATAGTGCCATGTTAACGAAGGAAGATATGATTTGTTGAACCAAAATAAAAAAAAGAAGAGAGAGTATTTATTTATAAATCAATTGGAAGACTCTCCATTAATGACATAAGCAAGCATAGATCCAATCAATAAATTGGGTTGGAAAATTCATAAAGATGGGAGTATTCCTAATGACTTCCCAGAACATAGAGTTGAACCTTTTTTTCAAATTTAATTTATAGAGAATAGGCAGCTTTTACTTATGCAGCAACTCAAGTCAACTAACTTATTAGTTGACTTAGAGATGAAGCCCTATGAAGTTGGAATAGAGGTCATAGTGTGGAATCCATTGAATGCTCAAGGAGAGTGTCTTTGAGGTCATCATAAAAATCAAAGTGTCTTTTGCTCCTACCCATTTCAAGAAGAGGGCTCTAATTTGTAGTAGGAAGAAGAAGACTCTAATTTTCATTTGAGTTGATTGTGCAAGTTTGGGGAAGTGGGAGGCATAAGATCCAATTCAGGGGATCAGATTGCAAAGCACAATCCAATTATTATGAACTGGTCAAGTGGAACAAGCAGAGTCCCATAGAATCAAAGATCAAAAGCTTCAGACAATTTTATTATTACTCATTTTGGTAGATTAGGCAGATCAAGTCTTAGGGGACTGAGGATGCTATCCTTTTTATAACAGAATGGCTCAAAGTTGAATGAATGAATGGCTTTTGTTTAAAAGAATGGAGCATTTTTCTTAGTTTAAGAAAATATTCGGTCCATTGCTTTTGGGATTGATAATTATATAATCAAAATTTTATATGATATTAGAGCATAGTATAAGTTTGAGTGTGATATCTATCTGTCTCTATTTGTTATGGTGTTTAATATAAATATACTTATGCAATGAGCTCTATCTATGTAAAGTCTATTTTTTTAAAATTAAAAAATATATTAAAACTTAAGTGTGAGAGTACAAAATGCTTGTGAGATCATATTAAAAAAAGCTAGAGAATGTGTGTAATCATAGATGCTTTTTTTTTCTTCCTTAACATAAATCAAATTATCATAAATAATACGTTATTTTATTTAAATTATTAACTTTTGTATTTGTATAGTGTGATTAAAAAATGATTAAAATTGATTTTTTTAATCATGTGGATAAGTTAAAAAATTTATAATCGTAATTCAATCTAGCTAGAATACTCATGATAGTATCTATTCAATCTAGGTATATTGCATTGATGTTTATTATAAAACTTTATAATTCGATACCCTTCAACCCCACGAGGACATATCATCTTTATCTACACACTAACTTATAATCTTCTTACTTAACATCATAACACGCTTCACATCAAAGTTTCTTTCTATTGCATACTCATTGACAATTTGTTTGAATTCTTCTAAAACCTAAAAATAAAAATAAAAACATTTATCTTAAATCATATAATTCTTACAAATAACAAAAATAACATTTATGGAAATATTATGGATCTTTTATTTATTTTTTAAAAAAATAAATTTTTGGGTATAAAATCCTCATCTTCCACATATGGAACCAAAAAATTTTAATATCAAATCATCATCTTCATATGTCTCGAAGGCTAATACTAACTATCTCTATCATATTTGGCTCTCCAATACGGTCCTATGTATATATAAACTCATCAACAAATTCATAACCATATATATATATATACATATGTATATATATATATATATATGTATATATATATACATATGTATATATATATATATATATATATACATATGTATATATATATATATATATATATATACATATGTATATATATATATATATATATATATATATATATATATATATATATATATGTATATATATATATACACATGTTCGTTGATCAATTTAGTTTCGGTAATATCATCACTATCTTTATTTTCATTTGAGAAACATATATCATTCAAGACTAATGTTTATCATAGATCAATGGTTAAGCTAGTACTTGATTATTTTTATCCCCAATAAGAGTGATATTATTATATTTCAAGACTTGTGTCCGCTTGGACACTTAAATAGAGAGAATAGAGAATTAACCATTAAATGGAGAATACATAATTCAGAAGAGCATCATCCCCATAAACACATATAGAGACAAAATACACAAAGAAAAACAAGTAATAGAATTAGTTGGGGACATTTGGATCATGGATTCCAAAAAAGTTTCTAAAGCATATCTTTATAGTGTTTTGATTCAGTGTTTACACTATCTTTATTCGAATTTATAAAACACTGTAAAGGTAACATCAAAACACTATACATGGTACATTTTTAAAATTCTTTCATTCATTATAGTGCATACCATAAACACAATTATACTAAAATATCATTTGCATCATGAATTATAAATATGTGATTAAAGTATATGGTTACAATGTTTTTATGAAGTGTTCATAGTGTTTTCTTTTTCTGAGTTTCTAAAATACTATAAAGATAACATAAAAACATTGTATAAGAAATATTTTTGTAATTCTTTCATTCATGACACTACATGATTTGCATAATAGATCAAAAAAGTGATTAAAAGATTTAGTTATGATGTTTCTATAAAGTGCTTATTATAACACCCCTGATTAGTACAACATTGAAAGTAGGTAAGATTACGATTAGCTTATAAGGGTATGATAAGTATATTACTATTACATTCAGCGTATTTTAGTCAGGGGTTCAGACCAAACAAAGTTGATAGGCTAATTAACTTATTAAACTCGGATCGTGACATTTGGTATCAGAACCGACCCAGCATTTCGGCATGATGAGGGAAATATTTTGGTCAGTAGTTTAGACCAAACGAAGTGGCTAGACTAGTTAGCCCATCAGGCTCGGGTGGTGACACTTATAGTGTTTTCGTAATTCTTCCATTCATTATAATATTATATATATATATATATATATATATATATATATATATATATATATATATATATATATATATATATAT